AAAATCTTTAAATTTTTTGTTACGTAGTTCCTTACAAGTTTTTACCTCACGAATGTTATTTAAAAAATAAAGTGGGTCACTACTAAACAATAGCGCAAAGCAAGAAAAGTGTGCGATCATGCGAAGTTGCTACAACGATGAGCCGATGATGCATAGATCTCGTGTTAGAAGCTTTTGCTGTATTCATGACTGTCAACGTAAATCAAAGCTACGTTTACAACAAGCGAGTTTTATTAAAAATCTATATTTCAGACAAAATTCCTTGAAGCCTTCATTGAAATACTAGAATTTAATTAAATTTGAAATTTTTTTATTAAATGTTTTGAAATAATATCAATTAATATAACATATTAATATATATTTTTTTTTGTTGCAAAATATGTATATACTATGTAATACTAATCAAAACGATTATAATTCTGAAATATTTTTTAATGATAAATATTAAGATTAATAAAAATTAATAAAATGCCAGTTAGCTATATTCTAAACAGTGTAATTTAACAGTGTATTTTTTACAAATGACGTTTGTAGTTAGAAAATATTGTCATTATTCTAATGCAATATCGCAATTAGTCTAATTAATATCATTCCTTGAAACACTCCATTATGAAAATAATCGGAAAATACATCGTTTCTCACGTTATGAAAGTGCACTTCAAATCGATAAAATAGAGTTGTACAATATTCGTATGTTTTTCGAAGTTGTTGAATATTTTGTCGTGTTAGTAGAATTGTGTTATTGGTGTTATTTGCACAGTTGGAGTTCCAACGTAAGGCCACGTTATTTGCAGTTTTTCTTTTGCCAACAGATGTTGGAAAATAAAGCAATTCGATATTATTTTAGCGATGTTAAATGCATTATTTTGTATCTTGCAGCTTTATAAGTTTTCTTTCCTAAAGACATCTTTTGTCAATATTAGTAGTTATGTACGATGACACAAAAGCATTTTCTAAGCTAAGAATTATAGCTAAGAATTAAAACTAAAAAATTTATAAGGAATTTATATAAATTATATTTTATTTCTCTTCTTACATTTTTGTGTGAAAAAATTTTTCTGATAATTTATAAATAATGTCAATGAAGATAAATTCTTTTTTCGTAATATGAGTAAAAATTTTGATTAAATGATCGCTTAAATGATTAAAGAAATATTTATCAAAATTTTTCCTTTTTACAGTAACATTTAAAAATTTTATATATACTAATTACAAATTTTATGCAGCAATTATTAATGTATCTTATGCACATGCATAAAATATAATTAAAAATTTTATTTCATGTTTTATAAAAAAGGGTGTCGAGTTATAGCTACGTTGAATGTATATTGAATTAAATTGTAAAATATAGCATCAATTTGTAAATACAACTCTTTGAGAAATTATTAGATGTCAACAGATTTTATATCACTATAAATCTTTTACTATTTACATTGAATTGTTCACTTCATTTCACTTAAATATATTCTTCTATATATGTATTATTTGCATATATGGTAATATTTAATATAAGATATTTTTTTCTAAGATTAACAAAATATTGAATTTTATATATTTTATTTATTTAATTTTGCTTATTTTTTATTTATTTTATTTTTGTTTTTTTTAAATAAATTATTGTTCAATATAATTATAAGAATTATCTTTATAATTATTTATCATATCTATTCGGATTTTTAAGTGAATTTTCCTTGTGTATAAAAATAAAGAAAGATAATTGCACGTATCTTCTTTGTTATCTTCTTTTTTCTGCATGTTATCTTCTTTTTTCTTCGCAACGTTCTCATGTGGTACTTATATACATTATAAATGCGTACGTAAAACTATTCCCATAACGAAACGAGTTAAAAAAGATCGTGAAGATGATGGCAGTCTGCAGTTTGCGTGAACTTTGCTAATTCGCGAAATTTTTGCATTCAAAATACCTGCTGTGACGGAGGTTTTATCTTCGTTCAATCAGTATACTTTTTATAAGTTGAGATTCATTACAAGATATAATGTGAATCAATCTCAAGATCATTTCTTTCTTGTAGCAAATTTTTCTAAATTTATTTAGAAACTTTTTTCAAACTTTAGTTGTGTTCATAAAAAGTTAAAGAAAACTGAAATATTTGTCAAGAAATTTTACGAGAGAATAAGAAAAAAAAGAAAGAGTACACGTAAAAATTTTTTATCATTTATTTAAATATGTAAGTTAACTTAAAAATTTCGTTAACTTCTTAGATATGAATACTGGATAGTTTGATATTTTTTTATTCCCAGATTTTATCAATTTATCTAGATTCGAGCTGTTAACAATGTTATAATCTTAATAAAATTAAAATTAAAAATATAAGTTTATTTTTATAAATTAAGCTTTTAAAAACTTTAAATAAATGAATAAAATTATTAATCTTTTACATAATTTAACTGGAATGTTAATTTGAACTCATTACATTAACGAGATCATTACAATTGAAATTGGCTGACTTATATATTAATAATATAATTGTGAAATATATCATATGCAGTAGTCAAATTATTTTATTTTATTTTTATCATAGAAGAAAAATTGAAACTGTTTATTTTTATACATTTTTATTATATTGAGAAATTTGTGAAGTTAATGCTTAATTACTTAACAAGTTAATCTCATAATCTCTGAATGCGATAATAATTCGTCTTTGTCTGCATTGATAATCATGATTTGTAATTTAATTGTTTGACCTGATATATCTGCGAAATCCGAGTAAGTCCCAGGTAGTTACGCGACCGCCCAAGGCGCGTTTGTCTAAAAATAGATCACTAATCCTACGTTTTCGTCGGTTCTAAGCTCGCTACCGTCGCGTGTCCCAGCTACATTGACAAGTAAGAAAAATCAGTCTCATCGGCTCGACCCGAGAACGTTTGCCTTGAACTCATGCGCTCTGCCATTTCTAATCCCTTGCGCTCGATATTTATCTATTTTGAGCATATGATATTATTGTAAAGCAAAATAAGACAACAATTACGTTTTGTTTATTGGCATAGGATACAAAAAATTATTTATTAATATTTCAAGATTTCGAATATTTTTGAATATTCGAAATCTTGAATGTTTTAAATTCCTATACAAATTTTTGAGTAAGGGAATGTCCTAATTTATTTGCAATTAAATAAAGATTTAAATACTTGTTAAATAAATAATTAAATATTCATCTATATAGTATGTATGTTAAATAATTAAAGCTTTTTTTGAATGTTTTTTTTAATACAAAAGATTTATGGTAAGATAATTAAAAATTAATTTTGATAGTCTTTCTTTCATAATAAGTATAATATTTGTGATATTTATTTTTATTTTTCACATTGTTATCTTTTAGAATTTTTAATTTGACATTACCTTTTTTGTTGGACAATAGCGTTTATTATTAGACTAAACTAATGCATTAATTATTAGACTAAACTAATGCATTAATTATTTTTAATCGCTTATACTTGTTTACTGAGAAACAGATTTACCCGTGTGGAAGATACTCCCCACGGAAGATAATGTAAGAAAAAAAAAAAAATTATTTGATCGATAAATAACTGGCGTGAGAAATTGTTAATTAAATAAAAGGTGTGAAAAAGGAAGAAGATCAATAAGACGCGGCATATTACGTGCGCGAAAGATGATAGGGCGAGCATCAGGTGAGATCCCATTAGGACGAGTTTCATGGTCGCTGTAAAAGTCCGTAGGAAACGTAAATCAGGGTCGAGGAACCGGGCCCGGGGGGCCATAAGACGTGGGAAAATTATTGCCAGCCAGGAAAATCGAGCTTAGGCGAAAGTTCGCGTGACCTGTAATATCAGGTCAACTTTCACTCTTGTGCCATCAAACAAATATCATTTACGTTATGCAAGAAGAAAACATTTATTTACAAAATAACGTGAGTAGCAAAGCAGTAAATGTATATTACTAATGTATGTTACTAATTGTATTAGAAAATTACCTGAATAAAACATGAAACTTTTTATTTAATTTAATTTATACATAATAAATGCTTGAAAATATGGAAATTTAATATTTCTCTATTTTTTATTTATTATAATTTGCAACTATTAATCTTTTCTAGAGAAAATATATTTAAATATATGACGAAAATTTATTAGGAGTTAGAATTTATAAAATTAAATTTTAGAAATTATAATTTAAATTTGAAGAATTTTAATATTTAAAAAATTCTAAAATTTTAGATTCCACAAAAAAATATAAAATTTTAATGCATTAGACATTTAAAAATGCGAAATTTAGATTCCTCTTGTTTTGTTTAACTCTAAAAGTTTAAAATTCAAATAATCTGAGATGTTTACAGAATCTGAATTTAAGAATATTATATAATACATTTTTTTAGTATTTTTAAAATGGAACTTTTAAAATGGAGCTTTTATTAAGGTTATTTTATGACTATGAGAGGGTGTTCTAAGCTTATGTATGTCTTCTTCAATAATTCAGAATATAATAAATAGTAAGCTTTACCATAATATCGTGGGATATTGAGTGATCGATCATTTCTGAGAAAACATTTTTTTCTACGGACTCGTGTCACGTCGTTTGCAGAATAGAAACCTTCCCTCTACCCTTATTCCCTTCGTCACGAGTCAAAATTGCGTGCGGCCCGAGAAATTCGCTGGAAAAAGGAACGATCTGTAGCTGTCGAGTGCGATCCATTACACTTCATTTTATCCCCAGCTCCATCGGCGTTCTCTCTTTTTCGCGCGCGCCTTCTTTTGATCTCTCGAGTGAGGCATGTCGGCAGAATAAACGATCGCCATTGTGCGCAGTATAACGTAGTTTCTGGTTTCCTCAGTAATAATACGACACCCTTTTTATACCAATTTTCGTGGTAAGCGTTAAGCACCGACATATCTTGTTTCCTTCCGGAGTTTTTGAATACCTAAGAACTCCATAAAGTGAGTGCTTAATTATAAATATAAACAAGTGAAGTTTTTAAAATTAATCCTATTATGTATCCTATTTTTAATAATTTTTTATTAGATACATTTTTTTACATTATAATTTGTAAGTTGTACGAATTGTTTATAAATGTACGAGTAAAATCTTCTACGATAAACAAATACTGCACGAAATATTTTTCTGTCAATTGCAATGGAATTCTGTCAAATTTCTTTTAAAGATGTCATTGTCTCGCTCAATTTTTTCCATTATCGCATCCTTTGTCGAACTCACATGTCGCTATCTGTCGCACCTGCAGGTTTCTCCCTGCTTGAACGGAAGATATACGTCACAGAATGAAACCAGCGGGAAATTCTGACATGCACAACGAATTGCGAAATATCTGGTAGTTGGCGTAAAAAGATGAGATAACATTTGAAATGTCTGTTGAAAATATTTCGCATATAAAGAGTTTATTGAGGCATAAAGGATACTCGTCAGCAGAGCTAAATTTGCAAGGAATATCTTAAAATTGTTAACATCATTTTTATAAATGTAATCAAATTGATCAAGATTTAATACATATAAATTGCTTTTTACTTCTATTTAAGAAATATATGCATTATTATTTATAAAAGTATTATTTAAATTACTTGATACTAGGTAAATAATTTTTGCAAATATTAATTTAGAATTCTGTTAGATTTCAAGAAATACTTCGATTTTAGGTATAATATTAGTAAAAGTTCGATAATCCAATTTTCTTAATAGCAAAATTAGTACAATATTAATAAAGAAAGATAATGCAGGTTTAAAAAAAATTGTGTCAAGTATTGCCATCGCAAATAGGATATGTCAAGGACATGTCACGAAAGAGAATTGAACAGGTAGTTATAGAATCGTGCGTATTTGTCGTGTACAGTCGCGTATTTGTGTTGCTCGATATATAGTAAATATGTAATGGGGCTGGACTAGGAGCTTTTTACGGGAAATGGTCTACACTAGTCACGTGTAGCCGTGGAAAAGTTTTACGGGCGGACGTTCGCACGACTGAGAAACGAGGACGAACGTACCTTTTACGACTGAATTCTTCAAGCACGCTATGAATTATCCACGCTCTCCCGTTTCCTCCTCCGCGATGCGTCCTCTCGCGGGCGACAACGTCGGGAATGCATAATTCCATCGTGCCTTCTGAACATTTGGCCGGATCGTTTGTCTAAGCTGCCACTGTTTTGTGTCGCCAACAATGCTCATAACAATGTTTCGCGAATGAATTTCTGTTGCGCGAAGCGTGAATTCGCTTGGAACTGGATACATGATATCTCGAAATGTTTGTGAGCCTACGAGTTTGGAAATCTTTGAGATGTGAAATGTATTAGATTACAGAATATATAATTCTAAGACTTGCAAACTTTAAGATTTGAACATTTTAGAAACAATGGATATTGGAAGGCTCAGGATTCTTACCTGCAAATTAGATATAATAGAAATATAATGTTTTGATACTTGAAAGTTATATATTTTAAAGTTCTTCGATTCTGAAAATTTTTCTAAATTTTTCTATAAATTTTATAATTTATAATATAATTTTATTACAATTTAATATTTTCTTATTTTTAAAAGGTTATAAATTGTGATTGGTAAATAATTTAAAATTCTATAATATATCTATTAATATATCTTTTAATTTTTACTTTGTAATTATACAAAATAACATTTTGTATAAATTACAGAATTGTTGTTTTAATAAATATTTTTCTGTTTCAGCTACGGTGACATGGTTCCGAAAACGATCGCGGGAAAAGTCGTCGGGGGTGTATGCTCCTTAAGCGGTGTCCTAGTGATCGCTTTACCGGTACCTGTTATCGTGAGTAACTTCAGCAGAATATATCATCAAAACCAACGTGCTGACAAACGGAAGGCGCAAAGGGTAAGTGCACATTTAAAATTAATAAAAAATCTAATATTAATACACATAAAATTTGGAGACAAAAAACTTTCTGTAAATTTAGATCCAGAACTTTAGAGCCAAAATTAAATGATAGAATATTATCTTTTCATTTAAAATTAATTTTAATTTGAGATTTAATCAGAATATCAAATGTTAAAATTTGGGAAATTCTGTTAAATAGAAAGAAACTTGATTTCACAAGAAATTACTTGAAGAATCACATATAAATAATTTAAAGAAGAATTTAATCGTATGAGATCAATGTCACGATTTAACCTGTAATAATTTAATATTTCTTTATGTTAAATTAAATCTTACTTGTTTCAAAATGTATGCGTTATAATTTTATGTAGAGTATCTTTTGAAGTGTCTCGAAATATACGCGTTATAATTTTAGGCAGAATATCTTTTGAAATGTCGCTTCTTTTTCATAAACGATATGTACCTACAAATAGTTTCGTCGTTATTCGCGTTATCGAGTATACATTTTATTCTGGTATAACGAATATCGATACTTCTGGATGCTGTCTTCTGACTAGAAAACTCGCTTCGCTAGCTCAAGGCTACTTTGTAACAAAGTTGCAAACGACAGAGTTTTTCTCCCGTTGTTTGTTACATAGCGTAACTATTATTAATAGAAAGAACCACGGATATATTATTAATAAAAAATACTTTTCAGTATGAGACATGTTGAAGTAATGATGATACGCAATGTAATATTTATATAAAAAAATGTTCCCATTAATTAATTAATTTTATTTTATTACTATTCTATATTTTTTATTTATGTTGGAAAAATTACACACACATACACACACACACACACACACACACACACACACACACACATATATTATTCGTTAGAAATTACAATGTGTGACACATAAAATAACAAGACATAAATATCTATATTTCTAAATCTTCTTATAAAATAAAACAGTATTAAATATACCATTCCTAAGAATTTGCATTTTTACATGAGTTGATTTTCATAAGATGACTACCTTCGAACGGAGCGCATAAATTTCGCGGTCGACATGCTCGAAGGTGAGGAGGTGTCTCGTCGCCATTTTCGTATTCTGGCAATATCGACGTTTCAAAGATATTTCTTCCATTATAGGGAGGAAGTGATGGTCCCAGTCGGGTCGCAGTCGATGACACGTTAGCTCGTTTCGCGTTGTCGTTTCCAGAAGTCGGACGATTTATTCTCACCCACGTGTAGCTTGTAACTTCGTCCCCGTGGCACAGTTACAACCATTTAACCAAGCATTTCACAGACTGATGTCATCAAGGAAAGAGAGAAAACGAGTTATCTCTTCCGATAAAGAACTTAAAACTTTTTTGCTCTTTATATTTGCAATTATTTTCTCGAGCTTCGCATTTTTCCATCGAGAGAAAATAGGAATCTGCGTGATTGACTAAAGAATTTAATAAAACAATTTATTAATGCTATAAAATGTTACAAAATACAAAAGAATTTTTTTATAAATTTAATTTCGAATAAATCTAGCAAGTTTTTGAAAATTAAACTTTCATAATTGAGTCATATTAAAGAAATTTTATACTAATGTAATTATAATTTGAATCATTTCTGTTAAGTCCCGAGGCAAAGTACTTCTTCCAGAACTTCTTGAAAGTTTCCTTATAGTATCACAACGAAATAGGGACGGTCATTCTCATACACTCGCTTCGCTCCCGTGACACGATTACCATTTTTAGCGTCGACATTTCGGCAGCGCATCGATCGATCCGTAAAAAGAATTCCGGCCGAATTTGTCTCGAGAAAAGTAGGGAGAGAAGAGAAGACAAAATCAGCGCCTTGAATATCTTCTCATGAGACGCTACGTTTACCACTCGTGGATGCTCTCACGCAGAATATCGTTCGCCGTGCGATATTTTTACGAGAATTCGCGGGCGAATGTGCGAGCAAGATTTATTCTGAAAGGCGGGAGCGATCTTTTAAATCTTTCTCGTGCAGACGATTTATTCCTGCACGTGTATACTTATGCGTCTACTTTGCTCACGCCGATATACTCGCGACGATTTAAGGAGACATCGACGACTCCTCTCCAGATCGATCTCACCGAGAAGAGAGATGGAGTCATGCTCAGCTGAAGGGAGAAGTCAGCTGTGCTCTTTTATCTTTTCTGTACGCTTGATTTCGCGAAAATGTACCATGTTGCGAGTAAAAAAGATTTACGTTGCAGTTATAAATCGAACAACATAATTCACTCTAACTTGCGAAATTGTACCGTCGAGCGAAACTTTTTCGGGTTTCGCAATTTCCTGAGAATTAAGAAATTAACTTTCAGTCAGATGCAAGAAATTCAGTTTATATTGATGCATATTTCACATTATTTGTTATAAATATTATTTCCATTTTGAAAGTACATTATTTTAACATCATTTATTGTTTTTCGTAATATATTATTATGAAAACTTAATCACGATATTTCAACAATATTTAATTTAACGTAAAGAGCTTTTTTATGAAAAAGTAACTAATTTATTTGGTATCTTTTTATAAGTATCAACATATAATCTTTTTAGCAAAATATTTATGAGGTGAAACATCATAGAACATTTACTAATCATTATTAGAATATTATAAACAAAATAATTAAGTTGCATATAATTCAAGAATCTTCAAAGAATTAATATCTTGGTCTTAATTTATTTATCACAACTTGATTTTTTTTCCTACTCTTCTTTTCTGCTTTTTCCTTTTCTTTCTCTCTATCGCTTTCCGTTTTTAACTTTAATTTACTTCATGATTTTTCGAATTGCTTCATGCGGAATTGCGAAGTTTCGGATCACTCGGTTTCGTGAAGGTCGACTTGCCGATGCCGCGCAGATCTGCATTGCAGATGCAGTTGCATCTACATATGCATGGACACGTTTGTTCTGATTCTCGCTTTTGGACAGCGACAGATTTTTCGTCAGGCTTCTTTCCTCTGCCTCGCCGACGTTTGAACTTTTGCGCCGAGTTCTCAGGGGCTTTCGGAAATCAAACACAACGTGTCTTATACGTCATGATAGAATTTAAAGTATAAAGGATGCTTTAGCATTGTCGAATAATAATATTTTGATGCAGATATTCTTTTTTTTTCTTTTAAGTAGATTTTTTTCAAGAAATTTTTACAGATTTTTGAGATTTTTGAATTATTAAAACAGAAATATTTTGTTCAAAAATTAAATATACTGAGAAATTCTAGATTTCTTTCAGGGATTAAAGGAACTAGCAAGACTAAAAGAATAACTAGATAACTATGCACATAAATATCTGGCACTATTTCCATGATTCATGCTGATTCGAGATGCTTTACAATCGTTCATTACGTATTCCATACGCTGCGATTTCCAGCCTGGGCGATTCCTTGCTACATATAAAATAGCGGTAATGAACCGACGATGCGACAGCTGGTAATATATCAAATTATTCATAGGTCTCGTATGAAAATCTGCTGAAGTAATTTGAAAAATCTGAGGAGAAATAAAAATAGTAGTTAGTTTTACGCGGGTGTCTCGCGCATCTCATACATGGAAACAACGCTATTTAATTTACAATAGCGATACGTTATATTCTCGGATAAAGAATCGCGAGCACAATAATTTTTGATGTCAAAGGATTGCGTTTGTTGAAATTCTTGCCGTGAGAAGGGAATTCTCGATCTCACGTCATTGTTACCGGGAGGGGTTTAATATAAAGTCATTCACAGTTACTATCTCTCCGCATATTACACGCCTGACAATCGAACATGAACTGCCGTAATAGCGATGTGATTTACGGGCTGTATGGCCGTCATCGATATACCTACATTGTCAGTAAACGCCACTGTGAACTTTGCATCTGCATTTAATGTCACGTCCGGCGTTAACGGGCAAACAGGGTCCGGATCGATTTTCCGCTCTGACCGTCGCGCAAACAGCGACACGAATCTCCGTTTAACGTCGGTTACCTTACTGCCCGTTGCTTCGATTCTTCTTGCTTTGTTTGCCCGATCAGTATGTCCTATCTCGCACGATAACGGCACCATTTTTCGACGCATTCCACGCGGAGGCGTCCTTTCTTCGTCATTTTCAGTTCCGCGAAAATCTTGAAATTTATGGATCTTAAAATCTGTTGGGAGGAATTTATCTTGATGACTAAGTGCTTTATGCTCACAGCAGATATACGTTAAAATTTTTTTAACCGAAAGGTTAAGCGAATCAGTAACGACGCGTATAAACATTATGAGAACTCCCTCGTTAATCCCAGACTCAATTTTCCTGAAACAATAAAGTAAAAATAATTTGCTTTCCTCGAAGCTTTATACTTTATTTTTTTTCTTAATCTCTTGGATAAAATGAAATGGATTTTATTTTAGGATACTTGCAATTTTAAATTTCGGCATGTTTATGGAAACTCATGAAATTAATTTAATTTGAAAGATTTATTAAATTGTTGCGTATATAAAAAATAATAGTTTCCAATTATATAAAATAAAATATAAAAACGATTTTGCAATATATAAAATCATCAAATCGGTTATTTGATTCAAGATTAATTTTATATTAAATTGAGCATATTTCTGTATAGATTCAAATTGTAAAGTTCATGTTTTGTTATTAATTATTGAATTTGTCATATTTAACAAGATAACAAAAGATTATATTAATTTAATTGAATAGTCATAGGATTATAAAATATTAAAATTTAGCAAACGTTAAATTCGTGCTATACGAATTATAATCATAGATTTCAATAAAGCTCTTAAAACTATCAGAAATATAGATATTATTATTTATCTGATTAAATATAATTTTAAGAATTATAAATTTTGTATTGTTAAATTTTACAAAAATTTAACTTATAAAATTAAAGTATAAAATCAATTAATCAATTTTATCAATTATTAATGAGAGATTTATTTAAGTAACTTTTATTAAAGTGGATACATGGATTTTATATATTAAGTAAAATTGAATTGAAGTTTGAA